ACGGCAAAGAGACTTAAGAGCTACTCTTTAGTAGTGACCACAACAACATTTTCTTAGATTCAAAAAAGTAGTCGATGGAACTGAAGGCCTGCGTCGTAAAGAGAGAGAAACTGATAAGAAAAAACGTGCCAAAGTGTGCTGATCCTCACAAGCTCATCCTTACCTGAATCTCTCCAATGGATGTGTAGAGGTGTTTCCGCAACGCTTCCACACTACGATGTATTGGTGGTGGCAGAGCAAACATCGTCTCAAGATCACCGGGCAATTGATATTGGAAAAACTTCTGCCTGCAAGAAACACCGGAACAATAGTAAACGCCGAATAAGAGTGAACGCTAAACTCACCTCTCCTGCTGGAGGAAAGCCTCGATCTCCTGCTTGGACACCTTGCTACGCCATGGCAAACTTCGCTTTGGTGGTTCTCGTGGCATAGGAGACCCGGCACGAGGAGTACGGTCACCGCTAGAGACTTGCCGTAGCTCGGGCCCTAAACATTCATAGAAATGACCCACTGATCCAGCGACCAAGATTAGTTTTCAAACTCCAACCTCGCTTGGCCGACCCATCAACTTCCGGAATGTAGTCGTCGCTAGCTATTGCCCCTGGAAATTATGCACTTGAACGTGGCTTGCCGAATATGATCAACGTTATCGAACTACCGATGTCAAATTCTTCATCCCTGGCTTCCTCGCTACCAGCATAAGCCAACTGTCGAGCCATGACGCGACCAATCGGAACGATACGACGAGCCGCCATCCTAGCTCCTTAAAATGGCAAGCAATATAAAACATCAGGTAATAGCGGGAAAATGCCAAAACGTTAAAAATGCTATTGAATGATTTCTGTAATATTAATGCTGAACATACCGGCTTCACCATCATTGATGAGAGTAGCAGGCAAAGAAGAAGCGACGGCTATAGTGTTTTCCATTACTGGGAAGACCGAGCGCAGCCCTTTTGGCTGCTTTCATCGCATCCAAGTGACGCCAACCACCTAACGTGGCTAGTAAAATTTTCCATATGAGAAGAAGGATCTGAAATGTTAAATTTAGGATGATATTCAATTGAAAAAAATAGGTGATGAACTGAGGAATTACACCATGACCACGAAAACGAATGTTGATAAAAAAATTATACAAAATAATAATAATTAACTGTCTAACGCACTGACTTTTTTGATTGGGAAATGAGGCGAAGTGCCAGTATAGAACGGAGGGAGCATTTCGAAACAGCACAATAAGCAATGGTTGGCCCACATGATCGAGCGGCTCACCTGAATTGAAACGCATGAGTGCTCAATTTCACATTAAAGACTCTCCAAACCTACTTAATTCTTCCAAGAAAGCGCTCCTTCTGGCTTGCAAGTTGGGATCATCGACTGATAGAGAATCAGTTAGTTCCTGGTTGCGGATCAGCTCTACCATGTGGTATAATGCTGACAAAACTGTTCTCATCGCTTCATTGTCCGCCATTGTTGCAGCTCGACGGTTTCGGCGATCTGGAATAGGTCGCATTGCAGTTATAATTTGATCCGCGTCGAAAATTCGTTGAAGTGTGAGAAGGTCTATACTTTTTTGAGACTACAACCACTGGAATCCATATATAACAGCCATGATTAACATGCCAAATATGGAGAAGTCACAGCTCCTTCAACCCTTTGCTGCTACTACGAGTAGGCAAAAAAAACTTTCAGGTAACTAAATTGAATAGTGCTAGAGAAGTGGAATTGCCTTACCACTTTCAGCTAAATCAGCACTGCTTGGACAACGACTTCCACGTGAGCTCGCCTTGGACTCGCGGCCACCTTCCGTCAAGAGTCCAGGACCATTATCGAACGGTTCACATATCTCTGCCATGAGAAGCGTGCAGAGAGCCTGAAATAGGAATACCACTGTTTCGGATGTGGAATAGAGGTTGGGAAACATCTACCCAGAACGAGTAGTAGAGCTCAAAAAGGTGACATAGGTAACTTGGTAAAAAGAATTTTCAAGTATGAAAGTACACTTCAGAAAAGGTAAGGTAAAGGTCAGGTAGGCAACCATTCTAATGCTGTACTCTGTTGATTTGATACGAATACACCAACCATTCCACCATCTTCAGATTATTCTTCAGCGACAAAATTTAAGAGGCTCCTTACTTCCCATTTGACAGCTAATCTAGTTATCCTTTTTCCTTTTAAACAAGGATGACAGTCTCAGAAAATTCCTACCTGATAGGCTCCCGCTTTATAAGCGATGTGAGCATTAAGGAAGGCGCTGTAAATACAATCCTTTTCATGGCCACCTGTTCCCTTGTCCAGTGTTGTGGCACTCAATAATAAGCCTGCCTCAACCTCCTCCTCTTCGCTGAAATCGAGGTACGCGCCCTGAACAAACAACCTGTGAG